ATATATATTATTCCAATACTTATTGGAAACAACTTATGGTTATGTACCTCTCAGATTTTTATTCCCTACCAAAAGAAAAACTTATTCCCTATTTTCCAGATACTTTATTTCCCAAATAAAAATTGCAAATATTTTTACCCAAAACTTCTGAAGATTAAATACAAAGGAATATGGAGTTGCTGTTTACTTTGACTGTGTTAAGCTAGAACATATGTTCATGTCATACGTATGTTACGTCAGCCCTAAAGTTGTTACAGCATTTGGTTGTGAGGATAAAGAGAAAATACTGATTTAGGAGAAAAAAGTTCCAAGGTTCAAGTTCAGGAGTGAAAGGTTACTTAGGAAGATCCATTGGAAAGTATCCACAAAATCATCTGGTCTAGTACTGATAATATTTATTTTATTTATCTTGCTCTCTCTTTCTTTTCTGTTCATTCTTTTTTTTGTAGCCACTATTGATGCAGATGGACAGGGATTTTGTCAAGGTGGATTTAGTATTGACTTTACAAAGGTATGTGATTGTTCCTCAATTCCTACGAGTCAGCAGACAGTTGCAAGTTAACAACAACCCTGATACGGATCATGAACAAGCACAGCTTTTATGAAACTAAATGTAAACTACCATTCCTGGGGCGGGGGGTGGAACCACAACCAAACACATCCTTGTAAATAAACAAAAATAACTTCAAACCACTTGGGTATTATAAAACTGTTCCTCCCTACATCTTCACAGCAGCACACTTTCAACTTGTAGGAATCATGTCCTAAACAGCTTTTCCAGCCTCATGCCATAAAACTCTGCTGCAGCTAGTCCTCGCGTGAAATAAACTGTAGGAGTCAGGTTTTTTGAGACACTTATTTTGAAAGGATTGGTACATAGCTAGTGCTACTTCTTGAGGAAGAATAACTTACTGCAAAAGGGAACTGGTAAACAATGTTCTTGTGAATTACGTTTTATTTTTCTCATCAGCTAGCAGAAGTAGACTTTTTCTTTTTTTGCCATCTGTCTTATGTTTCTTCTACTTTTATGTTCTCCCTGTGTTTTATAGTTCGTCTTTTTTAAATTCACAGTTATGTTTTAAATCCAAGCACAATAAAACTGTGCACAAATCTGAGAACTAACTATAGGGTTTTTTTATGTTGTACAGTTAAATTGTTTAGCATAGGCTGGACATGATAAGACCACACAAGTCCTTTTTGTGATATGTCAATTTTTTGGATTCTTCATATCTTATGATTGAGTCATATCCCTTCAGTCTTTATCCGAGGACACTCTTGTTTTTCCTCCAGAGGAAACATGCAAAGTGCAGTATAGGGCTGTAAGTGTTTCAGTTACTTTGCATGCACCCCTCGGGCTTACTGTGCAGACTCTAGCCCCAGTTAAAACCAACCTTGGGCTCTAATCCAAAACCCTAGCTGGGTGGGCAAGGCTTTGGGTATAAGGTATCTCCAGATCTCTGCCCTGGATTTTTCAGTGGTGAATATAGGAGTTTTAAGATTAACACCAGAATAAGAGGCTTAATTATGCAGCAAAGCCTATGGCCCAATTCAGTACTTATGGAGCAAATTCCCAGCACTGGGATAGCTAATGTGGTTAAAGTTTCATAAAATAGTTAGGGGATTGCAGTTGTACCAAGGAATACGAAGTGGGGGAATTGCGTCACAGATTTTCTGAATTAAAGGTTTCTAAAGATAAGTTACAGAAAGTGCCGGGGGCAGAAGATGAAACTAGTTTTGTGTACTGACCTAAAAGCATGTTATGATTGCCTTGTAGCAGTTGTAAAGTTTTCTCCTAAGTGTATTTCTGTTGTCTTAGATTTATGTGGCTAGAACAGTCTCTTACAATAAAAGCAGAATTCTGCCAGGAATTTTAAATGGGTGAAATAGCTAAGCAAGCCACTGAAGGCATACTGTTTGTTATTTTAGCATTTTATGAGATGCATTTTTAATTAATCATTTCTGAAAAGAAATAAAATGTATTGGGGTAAGTGAAGCTATGGTGATATACATAAATGAGATTACTTCCCGTAAACATAGGACACGTTCTCCTGTCTTTAGATATGCTTAATGAGTGGTTTTTTCCTCCCTCCCCCTCTCCCCGCCCCCATGAAGGGAGACAGAGTGCTCCTTGGAGGACCTGGAAGTTTCTACTGGCAAGGTGAGATATATCATTTAAGTCACAGAGAAGTTGACCTGTTTGATTTTTCTCTTTATTCTCTGGAGTCATTTGTATCCACACTCCTCCAACCACTGTCAAAGTCTTCGTCAGTAAGAAAACTAACAGAAATAATTTTTCTTCATCCTTCAAAATATTTCCTGAATAATCAAGGCAACCACAGATTAAAGCCAAAGTCATTAACTGTATAGATGTATCTTTTGTCTTTTAAATAAGTCTATGGTAATTTTAAAGGCGTTTTCCCAGGAATGTGGAATTTGTTTCCGCCAGCAGGATACGTTTTCTCTAGGCTATCTTGCTTGTTGTTTCAAAATCTACATGTTTTGTTATTTCTGACACACATACAAAGCACGTATTTTCAATGAGACATGTACCCTGCAAAGAGAACTATCATTATTTTCCTTTGACGGCAAAGATGTATTGCATTTGTTTATATTGATCTGTTTGTGCCATGGTGCACGTTCTACCTCTAGCTGCACTGTTTACATGAAAAGTTACCTCTATATTTGCTAATGTGGGCTTCGGTCAGTATTTATTTGCAGGATCATTCAGCATTTAGCTATAGCTCTCTGCTCAAAAGATGGTGCTGCTACAATCAAGACATAGCTGTCAGACTCGCTTGCCTGTCTTTTAATGTAAATACCAATGTTGAAAGATTTTCTGTATCACGCCAGCCTACACGTAGGTGCGGCAGCACAGGAGGCTTGTTTCCAGTCCTATGTTTTAAACTCTGAACAAAATGAAATGACGGAAACTAAACTGCAGATACAGTATAATATAGATGATGTTTGTGTATTAATTTTATTTCTTTTTGGCAAAAGTGACAGCTCATCTACCGAAACAACCTTATTTTTTTTCTACTACTACCAAAAAAAAAATCTCAACTCTGAATAGAAGTCAATAGTATACTTCTAAAACCTAGATTTTTCACCTCAAATTTTTATTCCACATCCTGAGATGCTGGAGGAGGAGTAGTTTTCCCTATACTTCATACATGTATGAATACGTATGTGAAGTGCTCTTCTGAAAAAGTTTTTTTTTGTGATTCAAGAGTTAATTTAAACTCAAAGAAAAGAATGTAATGAAGTCACCACCTAGTGGCTAGCAAAGTGAAAACAGAGACTGCAGTAATATGCTGTCCTCATCTTACTAACTTCTTGTCTGCTGTAATAAGCTCTCCTGTCATGGAGATTCAGTTCTGCAATACCATACGCATGTGCTAGCTGTTACCTAACTGAGCAGTCCCATTTAAGTCCTGGCTTACTTACATGTAGGAGTGGCTTCTATTTTCAGTGACAACTGTTCGTGTGCTTTTGATTAAATGTGTGCATAAATCTATGCTGAAGTAGGATCCAAATTTTCACTTATAGCCTATCTAGTGCTGCTGCTATTGGCTATTTTCTGGTCAGTATTGTGGAACAGTTGTTGTTTGAGAAGCAAGCATTCTGTAAATGACTCCTGTTGCTTAATGAATGTGTGCACGCACATTTTTCTGTGATTTTAAGCTGTTTTCTTTCTTTTTAGGCCAACTTATTTCTGATCGAGTGACAGAAATTGTGGCTAAATATGACTCCAAAGTCTACAGTACAAAGTATGATGACCAGTTAGCAACCAGACCTGCCAGTGCTGCTTTTGATGACAGCTACTTGGGTGCGTAGTTTGAAAAGGAAGGAAACCTAGCTGTACTTGAAAAACTCCCTTGTGCTGTTCATACCACACTACTATTAGTTCAGCATTCGACAGATAACTACAGAGCTATGTACTTGAAAATGCAGTAATTTCTGTATGGTGGATGCTTAGCTATTTTGCCGTAGGCTTGATTCAGAAAGCACTCGATGACAAAATAAATGGAAATATTTCCATGAATTTTTGTGCTCTGTGTTTCAGGCCTATTATGGGAATGGACGAGGTACGATTTTTACATGAGACGTTAACTATTTTTTTACTAGTTACACGTAACTATTTTTTTAGAAAAGCAGCTGTTTCTACATAATCTACCAAAACAAAACAGAAATGTGAAGGAATCATGTTTGGGAAGAAAACTAATGAAGGGAAGCCCGTAGAGGAGGGTGAAATCATAATTTGGCTTCATATATGTCTAACTGTGTTCAGAAAAAAGCAAGGGTAGACCAGGACAATTCCCAAGATGGTAACTGTAAAATTTTCATCTTCTGATCTCAAATTCATGGATGCTGATGAATCACAGTCTACTCATGTAGTTGTTCATAGTCTCAGTTGCTTAGAGGCAATATTTATTTCATTGCATTTTAAGACAAAGTGACAGGACTGTGCATAGAGACTTACGATGAGTCAAATTTTATATTTGCACCTCAAATATTGTGTTCAGTTTTGGGCCCCTCACTACAAGAAAGAAGGACACTGAGTTGCTGCAGCATGTACACATGAAGCTGGTGAAGGGTCTGGAGCACAAGTCTTATGAGGAGTGGCTGAGGGAACTGGGGTTGTTCAGTCTGCAGAAGAGGAGGCTGAGGGGAGACCTTATCACTCTCTACAACTACCTGAAAGGGGGTTGTGGTGAGGTGGGCGTTGGTCTCTTCTCCCAAGTAACTAGCGATGGGATGAGAGGAAATGGCCTCAAGTTGCCCCAGGGGAGGTTTAGACTAGATATTAGGAAAAATTTCTTTCCTGAGAGAGTGGTCAAGCAGTGGAACAGGCTGCCCAGGGAGGTGGTGGAGTTGCCGTCGCTGGAAGTGTTCAAAAAACGTGTAGACGTTGCACTTCAGGACGTGGTTTGGTGGGCATGGTGGTGTTGGGTTGATGGTTGGACTTGATGATCTTACAGGTCTTTTCCAACCTTAATAATTCTGTGATTCTGTGTGATTCTGAGTGTAAAGAGAGATGAAAGATTTAATAAGATTTTTCAAGTGATTTAATAATATTGTCTGTTGATCAGGTTATTCGGTGGCTGTTGGAGACTTCAATGGTGATGGTATAGAAGGTAAGACCCTTGATTCAGTAAAAAAAAAAAAGATGTTAATATGCTGGGCAGGTCTTTCAAATAAATGGTATAGAACAAACAATGCAGTGCACAGGAAAATGTAGAAAGCACTAGGAATGAGCTACTCTGTTCAAGCAAAGTCCTTGTACTTTAGGACCTGAATGTTACCTCAGTGTCTTGCTTTATATTTCAGACTTTGTATCAGGAGTCCCAAGAGCAGCGAGAACTCTGGGCATGGTAGGAAATTTGAAACATTAATCTTTACAATAAATAAGAGAGATTAATATTATTGGTATGCTGTAATGTGTATTCCTTCATATGCAGGTGTCTATTTACAATGGGAAAAACATGTCTTCCATGCACAACTTCACTGGAGAGCAGGTATGTAGCTTTATTCAGCGTGGTGGGTGGCTGGGAGGCTATTTCTATAGAAAGATGACGTGTTGAGACAGTATTTAGGGTACTAGAACATATAAATTCTGTATATTACTAGCTTATGTGCCAAAGAAAAATTTTATAAAGTCTGTAGGAATCTTTAAAATGTATGTTCTGCAAGTTCCCATTTTGTAGTACTACTGAGAAAACCAGCCTTACTTAAATTAAGGAAGTGCTGCCTATTTTGAGAGTCGGGAAAGAGGACTGCATCATGAAAGGGGGAGTGGGGGAAGGTAACTGGTCGGTTTACTTTATAACAGAGTAAGGAAGAGAAAGGAAATTAAAAGGAGAAAGGAGACAAAAAATGTTGTGGTATATATTATCATCTCCCTAACATCTTTTCTGTGCGGCTTTGTATAAACTTGTTTGTGTGTTTATATCGCTACATCTCACAAGTTTGGTTGGAATTTTGTTTTCCAGATGGCTGCCTATTTTGGGTATTCGGTGGCTGCCACAGATATCAATGGTGACAAGTAAGTGCCCTCTGCTCTCTGCTGCCCTCCAACTCGTTTCTGGAAAGAAAAAATGCAGCTTTCATTATAAAGTCTTTCCTACAATATAGATTTCTGTCTTCATGACTGGTTCAACATGTATCTGTGCAATGCACTTTCTCACTGGCACTCAACATTTGTTTTAACAATTGTAAATTTGTTTTTGTATTTATTTACATAAATACACATGTATGTATTCGCATGCTTTAAATGCATTAAATTCTAGCATATTTGTGCTTACGTTGCCTTCAGTTGCAATTTAAAGATAGCTAACTTTCTTCTTAATACTGACTTCAGTGCTGAGTTAGTCCTACTAATGGATGCTTAAGAGAATGAAAGTGAATTTTTATGCTGAAGAACCTTATCTTTCTTTGGTCCAGTTACACAGATTTGTTTATTGGAGCACCTCTTTTTATGGATCGAGGTTCTGATGGGAAGCTTCAAGAGGTCGGCCAAGTTTCCATTTGCCTTCAGCGAGCCTCTGGAGGGTTTCAGATCACAAAGCTGAATGGTTTTGAGATATTTGCAAGATTCAGCAGTTCTATTGCACCTCTGGGGGATCTAGATCAGGATGGCTTCAATGGTAGGACATAATTTATTGACCAGTGTTTTTGGTTCATAGATGAAATCTAGACAGCACACTGAATGTGGATTCTGCACACAAACATTAGGAATTCTAACCATGACTGAATGTTGGACACTAAGGTCTAGACTCCTTTCGATGCTTGTATGCTACTCCCAAGAATGCTAACAGGAGTTACATGTATGCATCGAGCAGAGACTATACCATTTAAACTACAGCATGGATTATTTTGGCTGTTACGCTGATCAGTTTAATACTTTCTGAGTGATAAGTACGGTAGAAACTTCGATGAAATATCTGGCTCTCCACTGCAACTTGTCAGGACATCTTCAATATAATCTTCCTGTTTCCATTGCTTAAAGACAATTTTCCTCTCCAGAAACACAGTGATGACTGAAAAGAAGGTTTTGTTTCAGAGAGCTGGTTAAAAATGTTCTGATAGAAGAGATTTTCCTGAGAAAAGTACAGATTATTATTACTATTTTTAATTTCAAAATGGAGGAGTCTGGTGAAAATATCCCATATCCAACAGCCAACTGTACCAAGAGCTGGGTGTCCTGAGCAAGTATTCGGATGAGAAGTCTGAGTCTGATACAACTGAAGCTGTGGACTCTCAAGCCTTTGCCAGTGCTTCTTGTTACTTTCATTTGGGAATGCAGAGCAATGAAGCAGACAAGAATCACAGTTTTGGGTCAGAGACTTCCATCAATCCTAGGGAGAATGCTTTGTTTTGCAAGTCATACCCAAGTGTTTCCTAAAGAGTGGCAGGAATTTGAGTTCCACAAAAAATGCTCTTTTGTGTTTTTTTCCATTCTGCTTGCAAGCTAAATATTTTCTGAAAGATCAAAAATTGTAATAGGCTAATATTTCAAATTCCCAGATAGCTCTAATTTAAATCGTTGGCATTTTCTCTCATCTTCAGCTTTCTTTAATTGTCTTGGAAAGATCTCTTTCTATATCTAAAATAGTCGTATTTTAAAACCCTGTAAGAAATGCAGAAGAGATGTAGAAAGCAGTATAATTTGTTCCAGCAACTTATCCATTAAGCGATATGAAGTGGACTTATCCATCCACGGATGAAACTTGATTTTTAGACCAACCCTAAGTGTGTTAACTTCAGAGTCTCTTTTTGTAATGTACCAGTTTGAACACAATGTCTGTTTTGTAGCTCAAAATATTTTATGCCATTGGTTTTGATGAGGTAAATGTTTAGATTTTAATTGCTAATAGTATACAGAATTAGTGTGAAGATGCAATGTTATTGCAGCTCTTTATAGAAGACGTTACAGGAAAGGTTACAGCTGATAGCCAAAAATCTGGTCACTTGATCAGATTATCCGAACAGTGTTTTGATTCTGTCATTTTTCAGTCTGAAATACACTGTAGGTGAGAAGATCATAGCAAAAGTTGCCTCTTGGTAATTAGTTTGCCATTATTTATTCTGTTTTTTTTAGTCTTTTTTTCCCTGCTCTATTTCATTTTGGGACTGTTAATTAAAATGCTTTCCATCACTGCATGGTGCCAAGGTTGGAACTTCTACTGTCTCCGTAATGTAATTACTCTGTATAGTGTTTAAACATTTTCATGTTTGGTCTTTGAACTGACTGCAGAAATGTTGAATTTAGATCACGTGTACACTTCTAAAGGTGTCCTTACAGATAGTCCAATTAGCATTTTGTTTATTACTGTTTATTAGTCGTTGTTAATGAGTACTGTCAAATTTATTAAGCTTTAAGAGATAGCATAATTGCACTAACTTAACGTTCTCCTTAAAACAGGTTGCCAAGCCATGATCAGGATAGACTGGAATTTGATATTTACCATTGGTTTAGGTGATTTCAATTTTCCAGAATTATTAAAATGTCACACCCTTTGGAGGAACATGAGTATGTTAATGAAATGGGCAGATAGTCCCGCTTAGTTTTGTGATTTGGTGCCAACAGTGACTAATTCTGGGTGTTTAATATTCTCAAAAGCATTTCAAATCCATATGCTTTGGCTGTAAGTCAGTTACTGAAGTGCAGAAGTGTTTGCAGAACTATTCCTTTCCCTCCTCATACAAGTCTGTGATACATGTTCTTGTTAAACATTTATACTATTTAAAATCTAAATTTAAAAAAAAAAAAAAAAAAGGTTGTTGATGAGCGTTTTAAACGCCCGTAGGCCTGTTGCATTTCCTCCCTACTGACACACATTGTATTATCAGAAGTTAGTGGTTGATGTAAGCACAAATACGTTCTCCTAGTCTGTGTCTGGAGATGTTGACAATTGTTCTTTTGATTTACAGATATTGCAGTTGCTGCACCATATGGCGGAGAGGACAAGAGAGGACTTGTCTATATCTACAATGGAAGAGCAAATGGTTTGAATGCAGTCCCATCTCAAGTTCTTGAAGGGCAGTGGGCTGCTCGTACTATGCCACCCAGCTTTGGGTACTCACTGAAAGGAGCCACAGACGTGGACAAAAATGGATATCCAGGTCCTTTGCTCTAAATGTCACTTTTAGAATAACTTAATAGTAGCCCCACCTGTGACCAAGAGCATATTTTAAAACATAAATTATAATGTGTAATATTTTTCCTTTCTTTCTAGACTTGATTGTTGGAGCCTTTGGTGTTGACACAGCTGTTTTGTATAGGTAAGTATCCCTGTATGCTTTTACGTAAGTGCAAGCAGAGTGAAAGCTCAGCGGCATTCTTGAGTTACAAAAGAAAGCAGGATCAGGGAAGTCTGACATTCCGCCACTCCGCCTTCCAAACTGATGAAGGTAAAAAAGGGTTTTACTGCTGTTTTCACTGAGTAAATCTAAAGTCTGCTATCTATTATTTATCGTTCTCAATAATCTATAGGTAAGAGAAAACATAAACAACCTGTCTTCATGGGTTTCTGAGTGACAGTTTTCTAGGTTCTGACACATACAGGGTGCTGCTAGCTATTACACTGCAATCCCCATGTTCTCATCCAAACTTGCTCATTTTGGGAAAATACCTTATTTGTCTGTGCTAAAAATAGGTAGGACATCCTCTTAACACAATTGTCCATGTTCTCACTCTGATGGTAATGAAAGGGCACAGAAAAGCTTCCTGCTTTTCCCTAATCTATTCAATGATTATTTGTTATTCTTGCAGTTTCACTAAATATTGTCAAAGTGTGTATGTCTATATTTCACAGTTTGATGGGGAGGGTATTGTCTAATAATGGCTTTGAACGCTGTTCAAAAGGATGTTTTCTTTGCAGGGCTAGACCAGTTATTAGAGTGAATGCTGCCCTGGAAGTTAATCCAACCATTCTAAACCCAGAAAACAAAGCCTGTTCACTGTCAGATGTAAAAGTTTCTTGGTAAGCAGGGTATCTTTGTTTTACTTTGAGGGGGAGGGACCTTTTTGGGTTTTATTTTCATAAGCTTTCAATTTTGAAAGGATTCAGGAAGTCTAGTCAGCTAATTAAAAAAAGGCAAACACAGACTTTTTCTGAAAGAATAGGCAATACAAAATAAAAACTCTTTGATAACATGGGAGGAGCAACATTGTCTTCAATAGACGCTAAACTGACTCCTAACTTATATCCTACCTGCACAGATTGACAGTTGTCCGTGTTGATTAGAGTAAGATCTTCCCAAGATGGTAATGGATCACACAGCTTTTTGCCATATTTTTACCCATTAACTTACTTTTTAGCTGAAAAATGGAGTGGGCTTGTGGAAGACACTTGGAAAGTGATCTGCTCTGCAATCTGGTTTTGGTTCTTATTCCTGGACTACTATCCAAACCCACTTGTCATTTCTAGTGCTAACTTCCTTTTCCATTTAGTATGCCTGTTCCTTCTAGCGTTAAAAATAAATGAGCCACATTTGATTTCAGGAATACGCTTTCTGCTTCACAGGTGACTATTCCTACATGAATCAAGATTGCAAAGCTTTGCGTTGCTGTTTACTTACAGGTTGTAGTTTCTGTCCCACCAGTAGAAAATAGCTTTTGGGAGTGAGCTAAGAGTCTCAAAAGAGAATGCCTTTCAACTGAGAAGACCAATAAAGCACTTTAGAAGAAAACGAGCGAGAAAGTGTGTGAAATTAATGTTTTCTTTTCCTCCCAAACAGCTTCAAAGTAAAGTTCTGCTTAAAAGCTGATGGCAAAGGAAAGCTCCCTAATTCACTCAGTAAGTTCTGCTAGTTTAAAAACTTTAAAGTCTTTTTATATTGTTTGCAGACATGAGCACTGGTCGTTGTTTTTTTTCGTTATTGAAAGAGTTGGCTACCCTTCTACAGCACAATCATACCAGTTCAGTAACCATATACATTTATATGACTGCCTGCAGCAGTTGTTTTGCTAAAGTTGTGTTGAAGTCGGTGGGATTTGAGCGTACTTAGGACTTTAAGCATATGTTTAACCACTTGGTGCAACTAGTCTTGGAAAGTCCTTTATATTTAACAGAATAGAGATCAACTCTCGTTGAGGGGAGTTTTAGACAAGACTATTCATGTATGTACATTTGTGAGGCCTCAAAAATATGGAAAAGCCACTAGGGGCTTGTCACATTTCTCTTGAAATCATGACCTTCTGATTGATCAGTCACTGATTTTTGCATTGGATTCTCGGGATCAGAATCAGGAAAAGATTGTTTCAAACAGGTTTTAAAGTTGTTTCTAAGATTTTGTAGTGTGGCACACAGCCTGCTACAATCAGGTTTTGACTACTGATTACAAAAGCTTTTTCCTTATTTTCTGTGTGGCGTGTATAGAGGTACTGTGATCTGGGAAGATTCATATAAATAGTTGTTACATATTTTAAATTTCATCATCTATGTCAGCTATGTGAAGTAATTAGATTAGCAATACAGTTAATTATGTGCAAGATTGCTTTAAAATTTTTGGGGGGGGAGATGAATTGTTGTTCTTGCAGTTCTATAGCAATTACAAATTCTAAATGTATCAGTGGTCTTACATGTTTCCAGTTTTTTAAGGAAAAAGCAGAGTCTAATTTAGAACAACAAGAGTGCTTGTTAGTTACTGTATTGAGAACTGCTGTAGTAACAGATTTTATATTGAAAGAATTGGAAGTTTTAAAAGCTCCAAGTACTAGGTGTTCATTGTAGCTGAAATGAGCTTTTAGCTGCATTTCTGATGGGAATCTGCACTGTGTTTAATTGAATGAAATATCCCTAACCTAAATGCTTTGGCTTGGACAGATTTCCAAGTGGAGCTGCTGTTGGATAAACTTAAGCAGAAAGGAGCTATAAGGAGAGCTCTCTTTCTCCACAGCAAACAGCCTAGCCACTCTAAGAACATGACTATTACAAAGGGAGGCAAAATGAATTGTGAAGAACTTGATGCCTTTTTGAGGGTAAGTAGCATTTATGTTTTAGGCAAATAACTTTTGGAGCATTTTCTGTTATAATTCCATGTGTTAAGTGTTTAAAAAAAAATAGAAGAAATGCTAGGGAAATAACATGCCTAATGGATACACTTAAAATTACTAAAACCGTATGTCTGTCCTGGGTTATCACTGCTGTCAGAGGATGAACCATGGATATTATTTTGACTAGGGTCCTGGTCACTAAATGAATTGGAAATTCAATTCTAAACTTTGTTACGGACTTCGTGGACAACTTACCTAGGCACAAAATTAGTTACAATTTCCAAGGAACGTGAAAGTTAATAAGCAGAGCTTGTGCTTCTACTTTGGAGAAATACGGATCTGCAAGTAAAAAGCAAAGATCAGTATATAACAGAGGAGACAGAGAAGGTTGAAATATTAAATTTGCTTTTTCTGTCTTTTTGCTTTAGTCCCTGCAAATGTGGACAGATGCTAACATAATTAAAAAGTGTAACCCAGTAAAAGCAGCACTGGCTGAAATAAGGAAAATCATGTGAAAGTGTAGCTATGTAACTTAGATGCAGCTCAGATTTATCGCTGAGTACTTGTAAATCTCCTCTCTCAAAAAAATCCGCAAACCAATAAAAATACTAGTAATCATTAAGGGTTCATGGAGGATAGGCAATACCTTTCTTTGACTGGCCTTGTGAGTGGGATAGATGCAGAGATAGACACCCCAGATCTCAGTGTTAGTAAAGCCTTAACGCTTTTGCACCCGACATTCTCATAAAGTAATGACACATGACCTATATGAAGTTATGTTAAATTGGATGCAAAAACAGTTGAAAATTCTAAGGAAGAGAGTTATCAATAGGGTTCTGCCCATAGGAGATAGATTCTGAAGTAAGATCCTGCAATGGCCTGTTCTACATTCAGTAATTCTCATTATTCTCAGAAATGAGAATAATGAAGCAGAGTTTACACTGATAAAATCTGGGGCTAACATAAAGCTAAGAGATGGTTTATAAGAACTCTGAAAGGCAGGATCAACATTTAATAACCAGAATGATTTGAAATGAACAATATGAAAGTCAGCAAATCCAAGTACAAAGTAATAATTTGAGGAACAAAAATCACAAGTCCAAAGATTAATATCTGTGAAGGATCTTAGCAGCATACTGAATTTTGTCTGACAAGAAAGAGTGGAATTGTATAGCTCTTTAGATTCCTCGCTCTTACAGTTCTATGACTTAATACTTCTGTATGCTCCAGTTTTCCATTTGTAAGACAGGCATTTTACTACTAAAATTGTCCATCCTCGAAGTTTACACTGTACGTTTTCTGACAAGGGATTTTCCAATTTGAAAAGAGCACAGAAGTTTTAATGTTGTTTTGGCTTTCTTATTGCTACTACGACATGAACAATAAATTGAAATACCACTCAGTATTTCTCTTGGGAGGATTGTTTGTTGCCTGTAGAGACTTTTGAAGGATATTTTGTTGTTGTTTTCTTCACATCTTTTAATTGTAATTCAAATCTCTGGTTTCTTCAGGATGAATCTGAATTTAGAGACAAACTAACTCCCATTACTATTTTTATGGAATATCGTCTGGATTACAAAACAGCTGCAGATGCAACAGGATTGCACCCTATCCTCAACCAGTTCACTCCTGCTAATATGAGCAGACAGGTATACTTCTTCCACAGTCTGTGATGAGAGAACCCACAGCATATTTTCAGCTTTCAATATTTGTGTTCATCTTAGCACTTCCGAAGAATTAAGATACCAAAATATGCATCTAGGCTTTAGTCTTTGAATTATAGAAGTATTGATGGTTATTCTGTGTTTGTCTCCACTTTTTTTCCTTCTCTCTGTGTTCAATTTCTTGTTTTGACATGTTATTCCTTAGTGCTGGGCTTCCTTTTCATATATACTAATTAACAGTTTTCTGGAGAAAAGCAGTTAGAGTAGTATTGAAGGTGTTAATCTTGAAGGATTGGAGTGTTTCATCCATTGCTCCTACTATGCTGCTCTATGTATTTTACGTTTATAGCTATAGTTCCTTAGGGTAATAAACATAGTTTTTGTATTTCTGCCCTTTATACGGATTTTTACACTTGTTTGCAAAGAGGATGTTGGAGATGCAGTTCAAGATGAACAGATTATTCAAAGTATGGAAAGAGGATTAAGATCTGTAGACATCTGTTTTAGAATTGCAATGTGGCAGGATTAGGCACAGTGCCCCCCATATATAAAGCCTCATTTATTCTCTTCTGAGACTAATGAGAGTAAGGTATCTCATAACCAGCTACTTAGAAAAAAAAATTATTTGGTGGTGAAACAGTATTATTGGAAATGTATGTTAGAACAGATGCAGGAATTATTAAAACAATATGCATTTGATTTTTGCGTAGGCACATATTCTGCTGGATTGTGGTGATGATAATGTCTGCAAACCAAAGCTGGAGGTTTCGGTAGAAAGGTAAATACATGAGAAAAATACTACAGGGAAAAGTAACTTCCCTCCTTGAATTCTAAACATCAAGAGCTTGTAATACTGTTATTAAAAGGGTGTATTGAAATAAGTGGGACCCCTCAATCTATGCAATCTAAACTCATGCTTATTTGTTTTAAGGAAAACCCATTTTCTGCTTTGTAACCTAATGTTTTTAGCATGTAATACAGGGAGAGCACACACCACCTCCCCCCACCCCAACCCCACTATGAGTACCCAGTATTTATTTGTATATTTGCTAAGCTGCATACGCATAGCAAGCATAAACCAGCATTAGCTGCACTTGTACCACTGTTCTGTTATTTAATACTAGCTAAGACACATGAAGGTGTGCACAGGCATGATTTTATCCAGCAAGGGGTGAGCAACGGCACTCTTGTCACATGTATGAAAAGATTTGTTGGTATTGGTAATACCTTTTATTAAACCTGGGAAAAAGAAACAAGTTTTAACTCATAACTCTTTCATGAGTCTGAGCTTTTTGTGCCTTGTATGCCCAAAAGCCATTCATAGTGTATCTACTCATAAACATCATCTGTTTTTTATGCCCCTAGTGCAGAGCTATAGCATATGCACCTGTATGTAGGTAGTACAGTTCCCAAGCATACTCATTTATGCAAATGCTTCAGATAGATTTTATATCAGTGCAGGTACAGTTAGGTTTCATCGTTGTTGTTGTTGAAATGAAAATACATTGTTTGGAAAGAGATTATTTTTGTCTCTGGAACAAATGTATTACAGAGTCTTTGTTGTATTCTGTAGTTGAACCTTCCATCAAGTTTTGTTATAAATGTATGCTCGTATCTCTGCTAAGTAGGCACGTAATTCAAAATTTATGTAGTCATTTAGCTGCTCATAATTGTTTTTTGTTAAAAAAAGGTGTCAGTTGTTTTGTGTTTTATTGTAAATATTATAAAAAAGATTCTTGCAAAACAGCATGTAACATTTGCTCTGTTTTTGTGATTGTGGACACTTTTTTGTTTTAAACATAGTGTAGAGCTCTCCTGATAGTCCTGAAGTATAACTACTGCCTCTAGATTCCTCTGATGTCTTTGTGCAATTTCAGAATGTCTGTAGTTTCTGTAAGTTCAGCCAATTCAACACACTTTAAAACCTGAATGCAGAGCTCATCTTTACGCTTATGTTCGGTAGTGATCAGAAGCAGATCTACATTGGTGATGACAATCCCTTGACCCTAATTGTCAGTGCTGAGAATCAAGGGGAAGGAGCCTATGAAGCAGAACTCTTTGTCATCGTTCCTCCCCAAGCAGATTTCATTGGTGTTGTTCGTAACAACGAGGTAAAATTCCAACTATCTTTCTTTTTTGGGTAGTCATCTTTCAGGTGCAGCTATGGAAGTCTGCGGGAGAGGGTCCATGAGTGGTGGTGAAGTGGTTATGCTTCAGTCTTAAAGCAAAGCACCGAAAAAATTATAAGGTTCCTCCAAGCCCCAAGGCTATATAACACCTGGCTGGATGGTTCCAGTTTAAGAGCCTACTGCTAGCAATAAAGGAGAATCATCTGTGTTGTGGAGCTTGGTGCACAGAGTTTACCTGCCACAAGCCTTTATTTGAACAGTGCCCTTGTTAATTTATTTGAATTTAGACTTAGCATGTCACGTGCTAGGTGAAGAGCTGGGCGCCTGTGAGGCAAAAAGTGATGGTGGATATTACTATTCTCTTGCACCTAAATACGTAGAAAGTCTTGGGTGTCAGTTTTCCTGACTACACAGGGTATGAAAATTAATTTCTTGACTTTCCCTTGTTATAATATAAAATGCCTGTCTAACTTCTATTTCTTTGAAGACATGTGGGTATAGCCACAAATTTTGTTGTAGCCCGCTATAGCTATATATAAGTAATATACTTTCAGATTTTCTTCATCCTTCTTTTCATTCAGTATAATCTATGATCAATATGTAAAGTTGCAGAATGTCAAGGGGAAAACTATTTTCCCCCTATATCAAAGGATTCCAACTTTGATAACACATCCTTCATATATATGGACCATGCCTTGGTTTGGTTCTCCAGTTTGCCTCTGCTACTCCAGAGCTTTGTGATGTGGCTTTATCCAAAATCTGGTAGCTCCTTGAAGACCTCTTTTTGAGTAAGCTAGTATTTGTGTTATTTTGCCTTCCAATCTGTATTTCCCTATGGAGAGTTTTAACCCTTGCCCGATTGCCAAAGTTTCTTTACGTAAGTTTTAAAGAGTCATGTGGGGAAGTGCTTTAGGTCACAAAAATCATTAGTGCTATCCAACATAACGGTATTGAATTTCTCTTTTTATAACCTTGGAAATAGCATCTATCTTGTATCAAAAATATTTCTCTCCATGGAGACTTTCATACTCAGATTTTATTTAATTGCTTGATTGTGCTAGGATTGAGAAATTACATTGGAATTAATAAGGCAGCATATGTGGAGTTTTTCTCCAGACTTTCATACGGGTGTCCAGATGTAAAGAATGACATTCCTTAATATTTCTTTCTGGTTTATTGCAGGCTTTAGCAAGACTGTCATGTGCGTTTAAAACAGAGAATCAAACTCGCATGGTAGTTTGTGACCTGGGAAATCCCATGAAAGCAGGAACTAAGGTGAGGTTTGGTCCAACAGGTGTCTGGTAGCTCCAACAGGACTGCAGTTGGCATTTTTCTTAATCACAGTAGTGTTTGGGCAGGATGTTTACTCACAGGAAGTTAAGATTAGATCTAGCTGACATTTAGCTGCCCACATGTTTGGTTAGTTCAGTGGTAATTGGTTTCAACATTTTAGCTAAATTAAAGGCTGAAAGGAGTGTTCATGAGTCTTATGATGCAACTCAAAAGGAGTAGTTCATTAAACAGTGGAATTAATGAACTCTAGTCCCTCGTGAGTTCGTCTTTAGGTTTACCTGATACGTATTTTTTAGTACATAATAAAGAGCTAGCTCATAACATACTTAGCTCTTAGTGGAAACCAGACAGTGTTTCTCTCTTATGCCTGGTTTTGTGAAGTTTGAGAGAGAGTTTTGTCTACTTGAGACCTCTGCAATTCCAGCAAATCTAGCTGTAATTAGAAGAATTAAAAAGTATTAGTGGGTCTTGGCAGATATTAGGATGATATGACATAGTAAGTCTTATTTTCTCAGGAAATAAAGTGAAAATCAGTCACGATTAGGAACCCTTTGGTGCTTTTCTTATAAGAGACATTTTGTATAGATGAATAAATGCTATTTGCAAAGTCTTTCAAAGTATATCAAGCTGAACTGTACAGATGTTGAAGGAATTATCGTGCACTGACTTAGAACAAACCTTGGGAACTGAATTTTCTAACAATTAAAAGTGTGCCCTGTTCTACAGTACTTTTTGCAACACACAGGGATGCTCAGTTAAGTGTAAAAATGGCTGAAGGAAGGGGGGTGAGCGTGATGTAAACCTTAGGTTTCTATTTTGTGGCAGTGATGCATTGGCTGAAGTCTAGAGAGACTTCTAGTCTTGGCAAACTGGACAAGTTTTATATGCCAGTTCCCTGCGTGTGTTCTCTTCATAACCATGTGCCTCAAGCAATTTTGTTGTAGTATAATAGTATTAGGAAGCTTTTATCATGTATTTTATTGTGCTTCTACTGAACCATGGCAATTTTTTTTCTTCCTAAAGCTATTAGCTGGCCTGCGTTTCAGCGTGCACCAGCAGTCTGAAATGGATACATCTGTGAAGTTTGACTTGCAAATCCGAAGGTACAGAAATCTATGAGTATGTACCTCACCTGGTAGATAGTGTGCTAAGTAAATAGACTCTGAACTGAGCAGTTAGTTTCACTCTAGACTAACTCTTTGGTCTTCGCCCGGTAATCATTTAAAAAATAAACGCATCTTTTTAATGAATTACGTTTTCTAAAATAAAGGAAAAAATATAAGATAACACAGTTTTATGTTTGAATGCAGTTTCTTTTGCTTACACCTTTTCAACAAGTCATGGTGCAAGTGACATACTAATAATGAGAAACAAAACCATTTAAAGTGTTTCAAGAAAAACTTTGTATTTTTGTACCTGCGTGCTGTTGTGATCTCCTAATGCTTGTGTAGTGCCGCAGAATGACTTGTGTCTTTGCATTGTTTTCAAACTGATGTTTGAACTCTGCATTCCTTCTGATGTAAAGCCAGAATTTTAAGTTTTATGTATTTTGAGGATGAGAGGTATAAGTCTTTCAGAAAAGGCAATGCATATGACGGTCTGAGCAGCAGCAGTATGCAGTGAACCATTTTAGGTGTTGCACAGTAGCCAGCATAAGAGAGTCTGAAAATTAACATGGAACAAAACAGTAATGTTCCTATTAATTATAAGATGAGCACAGCACTTCCATGTAAATATGATATATCAATATGATTTTATACCTACTGGAGATGATAATTTAAGATTTGGGGATGTGATCAATAGGAATCTCTTTACCCAATAGAGTTTTATGTTGCTTAACGGACAATACAAATATAGCTGCTTTTTTGCCCCATGGTGGACCAAAAGCTCTTTTTTTTTTTTTTTCCATTTAAGGGCTTCATTTTTCTTAATGTAGTAAATAAATTACTCTCGTCCACGTATGCATTTTTCATCTACAAGAGTTAAATAAGTTTAAACCTGCTATTGTACTTTCATGATACAGTGGTTTGCCATACTGATCAAAGGCCTTGGCAGCATTAAATATCTCTTTGATCTCACATTGCTCTCTGTTCAATTTTTTCCCTTTTCTCCATGAGGTAGTAAGCTCTGCCAGTGGCATGTGACTCCAGTTCTTCTGTACAAAAAGTGATCTTCTCTGGGGTGCCTGTTGTCTTCCTTAAGCTAACAGCAGTCACTAACTGGAGGAAAAGCAAAACTTCTCTTTTGATGGAAGAGAAAGGAAGTTCCTGTAACATTTTACACCTTTTATGGAAGGAATTTCTTTGCATGACTTCTGAATGCAAGAACAATGATGCAATCAAACATGCTAATCACAGTTTATAGTGACAGACATTATCAAGATATTATCTTGAAGAGGTTTTAAAGATCACACTAGTTGTCTTAAACTCACAAAGCTATTGGCACAATTCTTAGCAGGACAACTCTAGTCTAGGATGAGGTATTTACAGATCGAGGAGAAAATACTGTTGCATATATTGCAATACATACAACAATATATGTTGCATATATTTTTTGATTACAGTAGCAGTGAAGAATAAGTGGAGGTTTTAAGAAGATCTTTCTAAAGGAAATTCTTTAGGTAGACAGAATAAACAGATGTGTCTATGGACAGGATTCTGTTCCCGGCTTCGCTTCGAGGGAACAAGGAGTGCTCTTTGTATTTCTTTTTCTCTGTTTACAAGGAAAGTCCAACTTTTAGGTATGAATGACTCTACCTGCCTTAATATTTGTCATGTCTTGGTGTATCTGAAGTGTAGGAATCACACGTTAACTGTATTCATTTACTGGTTTAAACGCTGTGAAGAGAGGTAGGCAAAAGTAGCTCTAGCATACTTTTCTGCCTTGGGACTAGTTTGAGGCCAACAAGTCCATGAGCAAAATAGATGTCCTAAAGTGGAACTGAAGGCTCTGCTAGCTATAAAGTTGATGTTGTCCCACAGTGCTGGCATTTGAATTTTCATACATGTGGCAGCTAAGGAACAGAGTCAGAATTAGCTTTGTGTCCTTTGTCGATTTCTCCCTGCTGAGGGACCTCCAGACTGCGCTACGGGTGGGACTGGCAGGCATTTAAGTGAGAACTTGCTGGAATGTGCTCCTTAGTTTTTAGTAAATGTGCTTTCCTGCAGTGGCTCAGAAGTCATGTTACCATGTTACATAGAATTATTTTAAGTTGATTGATTTTTTTAAATACTTACCTTATTTCATTTAAGAAATTAACTTTTCTTTTCTCTGCAGTTCTAACCTGTATGACAATCTAAGTCCGGTAGCGTTCTATCAGGCTGACCTTGCCATTTCAGCAGCTGTTGAAATTAGAGGGTAAGCACTGATACTATTCTAATAAATGTCTTTCTCAAATGAGCTTTGCATGTTTGCATCTTCATAATTTAATAAACTTTCTTTCAGGTCTGCCTAAGTTTTCAGGAACCCTTAGGGAATTTTTAATAATAAAGAAAATACGGTTTTCTTTAGCCACCCTTTGGACTTTCAGATCTTACATAATTCTAAATAATTAAAAAATGAATTCCAAAAAGGAATGTTATGCCTCTATTACTAGAGTTTGGGG